TTGGACGTAATCTCGTCTTTGTTTACATTAGCAATCCTCGCTAACACTCAGAGCTAACCTGTACTGTAGAGCTAATGTGTTTAAAAAGCAGGAAATAATAAAAGGAACTCACCTTGTAGTAAACCCGCAAGAGAACAAGTTGAGTATTTTGTGATGCTAATTCTTATGTACTTTTGCTTTACCACACTATAATAATACCAGCCTACCAAGTTGAGGTGAACCGATGGTTTTCTGCTGCTTTTCTCTTCAGGATGTCAGCTGTGAGGATGACAGAGGGGAGTGTGCAGGTGGAGAGCTGCAAAGCGCCGCTCTTCTACAGACAGAGTGAACCTGCCGCAGGGGAAGGGAGGATGTCAGTTTTACTCCTTCACGGCATCCGTTTCTCTTCAGAGAACTGGCTCAACATCGGCACTCTGGAGACTCTGGCCAGAGCAGGCTGCCGCGCTATCGCCATCGACCTGCCAGGTCAGTCTGATGGCCCCAAAGCAATAAGCCTTAAAGGCCTATCAGGATTCTCCCTCAGTTTTGATTAAAACACTGAAATAAAAATAAACTTAAAGGATCACAATTTTGAATAAAAGTTGTATTCTGTAAAAAAACAAAATGGTGTTAAAAAATCATAATAGGATAATTGAAAACTTCAACTAAAACTAAACCTTATTAACTAGACTAAATGCCAAGGTTCATCTAAAAAGTGTATTTAAGATGTTTTCTAAACCCAGACATAAATATTGTTCCAGTTCCTAAATTGAGCCTGTGAGCTGTGTGTTTTTTTTAAATGCACCTGTACCCTTCATCCTCATGTAGTATCTGTGCCTCATGTCTCTGCCTCCACATCTATCAGTTTAAAAACCTTTACACAAAATCTTCTATTACCAAATAAATGTGAAACCTGGCCTTGTTCTTCTCTCACGCCTTCATTAGTCTGCTTCCTCCCTCTCTGTTCGCAGGACTGGGCCGCTCTAAGTCAGCCGAGGCCCCGGCAGCGGTTGGAGAATTGGCCCCTGCAGGGTTCCTGAGAGAGGTGTGTGAGCAGCTGAGCCTCAGCCCGGCGGTGGTGATCAGCCCTTCGCTCAGCGGGATGTATTCCCTGCCTTTCCTCATGCAGCACCAGGCTCTGGTCCGAGCCTACGTCCCCGTGGCTCCCATCTGCACCGACAAATTCACAGCAGAGCAGTACCAGAGTGTAAAGGTACAGTGTGTGCTAGGTTATTATTTAGATTCCTTTGAAGTTTTCTGTTTCTCCTTTCCTCTTAACTTGAGCATCCGTGAATGTCAACCCCGTTTTCCAGCACAACCTTCTTCCCTTTTACATGCGACCATGAGAGGAGCAGATATCATGTGACTTTCACACTTTCTTTCATCCAGCTCTCAACTATTACAAAATTCAATTTCTTAGATGGCAAACCAAGTGAAGCTGCATTATCCATGAAGGAGACGTATTAGTTACTCAAAAGTAGTTCCCCTGCAATGACGAACATGTCTGAGTAAATGCAAAAAGAGTGAGAGCATCATGGCTACTTAATGCAGTGACATGATATCATGTGAGTGAGATGTTGATATCAAAAGCATTAAAAACGTGTTAATAAACAAAATTATTAAAAGCAAGTAGTGAAATGTAAAAAGTAACTTTACAGGATGACTTCCGCAGCGAGAGACATTACTTCAACTTTACTAAAACATCAAGGCATCAGTAATTACAGCACAGTTATACCATTTCTGTACAATGAGTACGTTTACTTTTAGGGTTATCCTGGTTTAAAGTCTGAAATGCAAATTGTTAACAAAATGACTATTTGAGACATTATTAAAGTTATCGTTTCAACTTTTCTGAAGCTTGACATTTTAAATCTGATGCCAGACGTTATCGGGAGGTAAAAGTTGTTTTTTATCTAATCGATGGAACGTGGATCATTGGCACACATCCCAAAATAAGACAGGACAAAGGCTTACTCAGCGCAGCAAACCCAAAAATAGAAAGATGAAACCCTAAAATGACAAAGCTTGTTTCATAAAGAGTGACTTTTTCTCCAAGCTGTACAGTACGGCCATTTGACAAACACTTCAGATAAAGTATTCTGGTGGTTTAAACAGTGGTTGAGGTAAAATAGAGGACATCTACAAAATCCTATGAGCAAGGGGCTTACAAAAAGCAAACAGGACTATGGACATTTTAGAAGTATTTATCACCCAGGTTTTGTGTCCCATCTTTCCTTCAGGTCCCATCACTGATCGTTTACGGGGACCAGGACGCTCAGCTTGGAGAAGTGTCTCTAAGCAACCTGAGGAACCTAGCCAATCACAGCGTGGTGGTGATGAAAGGGGCGGGTCACCCCTGTTACCTGGACGACCCGGACACTTGGCACAAAGCTCTCACCGACTTCCTGAAGACGCTGTGAACCCCTCGAATTAATCAGAAATGTAGGCCACAGACGTCCTGCACAACCTGATTTAGAGTTTTTAAATAGTGCCAAGAATGAAATATGCTTATTCACTTTTTAGCCCAGAGTTAAAGGTGGGGTAGGTAAGTTTGAGAAACCGGCTCGAGATACACTTTTTGTTATATTCCTCTTAACATCCCGATAGCAATGAATATCTTAAGTGCTTTGACAAAAAATCCATTAAAAAAAATGTCATCTGTGGAAGCCTTAGTAAAAAGCACGATCAATCATTATTTTAGCCGGTGTAGGTACCATATGTGTTTGGCCTACCATATGTGTTCGGGGTCCGTCGTTTACTAATGACGTCACGCATTGGCTGTACGGCAACCCAAGAGGACATTTTACACGGCCAAATTCTGCAAAGAATATTAAAAATTAACANTGTGTTCGGGGTCCGTCGTTTACTAATGACGTCACGCATTGGCTGTACGGCAACCCAAGAGGACATTTTACACGGCCAAATTCTCAACTCAGACTCAACGTAAGAGCTTGAGCCTCTTCGGGGGGTGCTAACATTTAAACATACACTTCATTCTTTAATTTGTCCGAATATTCGGCCCGCGGGGGCGCGGGGGGGCATAGTAATCAGCAGCAAACCGCTTCAACACGCGGATTTTGTTGTTGTTCGCGGATTTCGGTGTTCATTTTGTTATTCTACATAGCATTCATTTTGTTATTCTACATAGTACTGTTGTTTTAGAGTTATTTGTTAATGTAACCCAATTTGTGTTCTTTAAAATTGAAAAGGATATCGCATTGTGTTTGCTACTTTCGTTGCAGTTGTATATGTCTTACGTGTAATTTGGCTTGACAAGCTTTTATTTTGAAGGAGAGGTAACGCTGTTGACAGGAAGTTGTTGTTGCTTTGGAAACAACGTGACGGAGATTAACGGAGAAAAGTAATATCTATATATAAAGACGGAGAAAGTTAACAATAACGTGTATGGTTAAGTGTTAGCACCCCCCGAAGAGGCACAAGCTCTTACGTTGATATTGGAGTTTTCAATAAATTCAATTTGAAAAAAAAACGGGGAACAAAACGAAGATCACCATCACCAGCCGATCACCATCACCATCACCAGCCAATCACAATGCGTGACGTCATTGGTAAGCGACGGACCCCGAACACATATGGTACTGACACCGGCCCGGCTAAAATAACTGGATGGCCTACCTGCCTGTCAGCCTTCCATTTGTGCACAAACGTATCTCGTGCCCTCATTGGTCATGTGTGCGTTCGTGTGTGTTGGAGGAGGGGCTCTGTAAGTGTGGCAGATTTTTTACGGTAATGTATTTTCAAATTCTAGCGCACTCGAGCTGGTTTCTCAAATTACCTACCCCACCTTTAAATGAGACGATTGATAGGCTACATTTGAAGTAAACTCAAACAGCCGACTCACTTAGCTTAGCAGGGAGACTTGACAGACGCGCAAACAACCATCCTGGCTCTTTCTAAAAGTAAGAAAAATCAATACCAGATTATGAAAAAGAATAATCAAGCATGTTTTAGAGTATAGCTTTTTCACTCTTTGTGCTATGCTAAACAAAGCTTGATTAGCTTAAATCATATTTAGTATAGGCTACAGACAAAAGTAGCGATAGTTGTCACAAAGTTTTTCCCTTTTAGCTAACTGTATATCATGGTAAAGCTACAATTATGCACTTATCTTATAAAAAATACACTTTATATTTCCTATGTAACTGGTAAATGAACAATTCTTAACCTGTCTCGACTGAAAAACAAACACCACACGCTGAAATGAAGTGAAAAATATGAACATTATTTAATAACTGATTCTCTGTAATAAACTATTTGAAAATATTTTACAAGGAGTCACAGACACAATATTTTACAAATTTTGCCCTCTTCTTTTTATCTTTTTTTTTAGCTTCATCTGTACAAAAGAATGGAGCGACATGGACCGGTGCCCAGAAAAGAAGGAGCTAAATCATCCACACACACCAACATTCACACTCACACACGTACAACAAAATTCAATACATTTTTTACTTCAGATCTCAAACTTATCAACAGTGCTGTATTCCTATATTTTTTATAACTTCACTTAAAATTTGACTGATTTAACTCTTTTTTTACTCTAAATGTTGCTGTAATTTTTTTTACACACTTGTCAAACATGGTCACATAGCACCAGACTACAGACTACAGACTACAGAATCACATACACACTGTGTCTTTCCCACAGAGACGCACCAACACAGATGCAGCGAGGGTCGGGAGGGGGGCAAGAGGCTTTATGAAAACCATCCCCTACTTAATTTAGGGTTGAGTCCTAAAGCAGACCCCCTCCCTTTCATCATCCCCAAGCTGGTCCAATTTTATATTTTTATTTTATATTTTGGCAAAAGTAAATTTGTCAAACCACAGAAATCAGTCGCGTGTTCCCTTCAGAAGACGTTTCCCTCGTTGGGATGCACACACAGACATCACTACAGGATTCCTCTCTGACCTTCAGTCCGACGGCTGCTCTGTGGAGACCCACTCCCTGAGCTTGCCTCTGACATTTCACCCGCTCTCAAAAAAACACACCTGTGAAGTGACGTCCTTGGCTTACTTCTGCCTGGTGCTTGACATCTCCCAGCTGGGCATGAATAAGTGTCATCATTACATGTTTGCTCGTAGGTGTGTTGTGCATAATGTCTTGGTGCAGGTGCAAAAAAACTGTAGGCCTACATATTCAGATTATGTGTGAGGACTGTAAGCGTACAAGGGCCAGGAAAAGAGAGGAAGTTGCAGGGGGTACATTTCCACAGGCACGTGTAGCGCTCATTTACAGACAGTGGAAATACAGACAGGATTCAATGGCACAGGACAGAGACAAACAAATGCCAGAAAAGTTAAACTGCATCCGGTTATCAACACTGCCAAATTGAAAATACAATAACTTTTTAACAGTCTCTTGTTTAGTTATTTTTAGATTCGTTTTTGGAGCCGAGCTGCAGTTTCTCTGCCAGCAGGTTTGTCACATCAAATAGTACCAACAACTGTACAGAGTGTGTGGTTAAGTTCAAATTGTGAATCGTCCCACCTGAGCAATACAGTGAGGATTGGGTGGGTGTGAACATCGAAGGTCGGAGGCTTTTTGAAATGGAAAACTCCCACCTGGCTTTCAAGCATTTAATAAAAAAACAGGCATCAATCAATAACGAATCATCAAAGACGCGATAATACAAAATAAGAGCTCACTATACTTACTGCAGAACACCAAGAAAACCCGGGGAGTGAATATTTTGGAGGATCTTTTTGTGTGAGTGTACATGAGGGAGGGAAACGTATCAGAGCTCTGTACTGTGTAACACTAAGGCATTTTGAGAGGCTTTGTTAGCTATGTTGCATTTGAAGCAGAAACACTGATGAACTACACATTCTTTCAGACACCTCGGCTCCCTCAGATTAACATTTAGGCAGAGTAATGGTTAAAGATGAATTATTTTAGTTTAAGTAAAATCCTTTTTTTTTCTCCCCCACCACAACAACATTGGATTTATGTTGCAACACAGGATCAGGAAAAAAACAAACATGTTATGCTACCACAACTGTCACCCCTCACACACTCCACAACTCATTTATAATGACATTCCCTTTGAGGGTTTTAACGAAAACAAACACATCCACACACGATTCAGGCAGAACGATAGCAGTCAGGTGGCCCTAAGAACGCTCTATGGCCAGTAAAGTCGCTGTATACTGATAGTGTATCATAGCTCTAAACACGGCTTGGTAAAGGAACGGTATAGTAACTCTATATGATGGCAGTCAGGGGGCCGAGAGGGCAAATACATTAAGCTGGAGCCAGTCAGTGTGATGGCTCTGTGTAAAGCTTTTTCTATAGCCAACAGATTCAGTCTCACATCCAAAGCCTCACACGTGGCTGCTCTATAAAGGTACTATACAGTAGCTCTACTCGTATACAGCCCATGTGGTCCAAAAACAAAGTGCATCAAGGCGCTATGAAACAGAGCGGCTCCTAAACATCGTAATGATCAAATGATTTACTGCCACGGATTACAACCAGACTACTACTTTATGTGATCGCCATATTTAGTTGCCTTTTTCTGCACTTTAGTTGGAAATGTTGATAAGCCCCTATCCCCCAGCAGCGAATGGTTTTGAAGTTGGAACAGCATCAGTCAAAGGTAAAAAGAAAACCCTAACCAGGGCTATATGAGACGGTCATGAGGCAGAGATCTGTGTGTCGGTTGACCAGAAGTAAAGCACATGTATAATTGTGATGAGGAGAGTTAATAGAGGTCACTGGAAAAGCCTCATTAATATTGGCAGAGGTGAGCTTTTGCTTCTGAGAGCACAGGGATTTAAAAAATATTTTTTTTTTAACATCCGACCAAAACCAGAAGTCAGAATGGTCGATTGATCGTAAAGGAGAATAATACACGACGCTGAAGTGAGCAAACACTGATTCATATTTCACAGCTGTCACTAGTGTTATAATAAGCCAGATAGCACTAGCCTCAAATAGTAAATATGAGGAAAAATACTTGAAGAAATGCGATTACTATCATGTAATTACAATAATCCCCAGTGGACGTCTTTTACGAGAAATAATCTGTAATTAGAAGCTGCACAAAATGAATCAGCATTCAGTGTCTCCTCTCATAGTCTTTCCTAAACCTAGAATTGGAAACCATTTCCTCCTCGTGTTTTGGCTATAAAAAAACAAGACCGCATGAAAGTTGATCTAATTTTGGCAAGTAGATATAGAGCATAAAACAATTAATGTCTTTTGAAATAAACACCTTAACGACTTCCTTTTCAAATTAAAACCTAAATACACAGTATGCTTGGAATACTCATCACTTCAGCGGTTTATACTTGACATGTTGTATACTTGACAGTTTTTTTTTTTTTTTAAATGTTATTTTCTTTTATGGTGGCGGCTATAACTGGCTGATGGTCCACAGCCTACGAGAGGCAGTTGACAGAGCGACAAAACTCTGAGATAGAGGAGAAGAAGAAGAAGAAGAAGAAATCCCGCCTTCTGTCTGATGGACAGAGGCGAAGAGGACCTCTACTCCTCAGTCTGTGTGAGGCGGGGGGGGGGGGAGGTCTGAGAAGAGGACATCGGCCTGTCCTCTTTACCCTCCCTTCCTCTCGAAAAAGGGGGTGATGTTTTTGTTTTCTGACGTTGCCTCTGAGGATCCAGGTGGTGCAGCACCACCCGCTCCTCCTGCAGATGAAGGTTAACTGGCTGGGTACACAAACGTCCGGCAGTTGTCACTAAGCAACAAGGACTGAAGCGAGCTGGGTAGCGCGGCACTCAGGGCTTCCAACTTGCTGTGAAGGGAAGTCCCTTTATTACCTATGACTATATAAGGGGGGCGGGGAATAGGGGCATGGAGGTGGGAGGTGGGGTTGGAGGGTTTTGGGTCAGGGAGGCTAAAAGAAGACACGTGGAGGAAAATGGAATTAATGTAGTAGAGAGTGAAAGTGGGGGCTGACGGCCGGATAGAGCAGGAGCAGCTGGATGAGCAGTAAGGTGTAGAGGGAGGGGCGGAAGGAGTGGCCCCGCCCACAGTCTGACGTGTTCTCCTGCAGAGAGAAGACTCAAGCTGTGAGGACAGATCTTTATTCCTTGTGCATTGTTATTTGACTACTTCATTCAGGAAGCGCTCATTCAACATATGTTGAACTATTTGTGTTGTTGTGTTTGTGTCTTATAAGCTAACCCTTTATGTTAAACTGCTAGGAAGAAAGTGGACATTTTCTCTCACTTAATTCTTAGTTTATATCCTCTATAAATACAAACAAAAAATGTAAACAAACATTTAGACATTTATTTTCTTTCTGGCAAAGAGTTAGATGAGAAGATTGATTCCCCTCGTGTCTGTCCATTAAATATGAAGCTACAACAAGCAGGGGTCCATTCCACTGATAAACACGTGGGGGCGCTACACGGTGATACATACAGGTAATAGGAAGTGATTTTGGATATTGCCTGTACTTTGCTCGGACTAGTGACTCTTGCTGTTAGCCTCCACAGTGGTATCAATCTTCTCGTCTAACTCTATAAGAAACCATCTAAGCCTGTTTTCCTATAGGTCAGATTATTCCCTTAAAGACAAGGAGTTACAGTTGTTAAAAATCTTTAATGTAAAGTCATAACTGTATGCCCGTTCTCAAACTGTTTTGTGTGTAGGGTTAAGGGTTACAGCTGAATTGATTCATCCTGACTTGAAAGGGTTTTTCAGTACACATTATATCACTTCGTTGCTAAGGATAATTCCAATAAAAAAAGTTTGATTTTCAAAGTCTAAACTGTGTTTCACTGTTTTTGACCTTTCTGTGTTTAAGTCAAACTTCTCACAGCTTGCTCAGAATCATTAGACAGGATGTGAGATCAAGTCATCGCAAAACGATTTGGCTGAAAGTGGATAAAGTATAACACTTAAATAAAAGTGCTCATTGATATTGTGTCAGAACATCTTACAGTGAGGTTATTGTCAAAGCAGGTGCCGGGTCCTTTTCGATAGCGCGCCACGTCTTCACATGGATTTTCGTGCTTCACTGAAAATTGACTCGATTAAGGAAAAGTAAAAACATTCAAATGTGTTTTTTTTTTCTGCAATGTTTCCTCTTTCACACACACTCAGAGTCCTCAGGCAGTCGTGCAGATGCTAAATGTTAAACGACAGGTTATATTTCAAACCATCATGACAAAAATAACCTTGAAAAAAAACCGGGACACATCTGCGTGTCCACAGGTATGGTAATAAGGAGATAGAATGTAGAGTGTCTTATTCTCTAGCAGCTGGTGTACAATGTGAAAAAGGATACACTCCTCCTCCTCCTCCTGGGACAGCTTCTCTATCTCGCAGGAGTTGCAAGGCATCTTCTCTGCGACCACAAACAGCAAGTTGGTGTTGTTTATCCTCTTGGCATGAATCAGCCTGCAGAGAAAGAGAGAGGCAAAGAAAAGGGAGACAACATAACTACCCCCCTCTGTTCGCTTACATCACAGCCTCATTTGCTAATGGATCAGCAAGATTCATGAGACAGTCTTGTAAGGCTCATTTAGCCGATGATATGACCGTTTCATTAGAGCTGATGCGGTTTAATCATCAGCAGAGTTTATTAGCTCCGACAGGAAGATGAATCCGTCTTGCTAACTGAGCATCTGTCACGGTGCGAGTCTGATGTGTGTGTGTGTGTGTGTGTGTGTGTGTGTGTGTGTGTGTGTGTGTTTACATGTGTGTATTCTGTCATGTGTACAGACCTGGAGCAGTTGCCACAGTCCTGCAGTATGTTGTAGGAGCTGCTGAGATTACTCAGGAAGTACTGCGTCTGTTTCATTACACAACTCCGCACCCGAGTAGAGTCCATTCCTTCTGCATCCACCTCATCTGCAGCGTCACCAGAGCACAGACACATCTCACTTGTCAGTTCACTTGATTTATAAGAGCTGGCTCTAAAAATGGGATTTTAATTAGTGAATTCCTGCATTCTGCCTGGAAAAGGCTGTAAAACCTCTCTCCTTCAACATTTCTTTACATAGTTTGGATTGAAAGTTTTTGCACAGAGGTTGATAACAAACTAATGTCACTGTCCACTTGAAATACTGACACTTATATCATTGGATGTTAGTCAGTGCACTTTAAAGTCTCATAACTCCATGAGTGGTCAGAAAAAGTTCAACATAATGGAAAATGCAATTATTCCTTTTGTTCCCTCGAGTGAGATGAAAAGATAGATACCATAATTATCCCCTCAAACCCGCAAATTGTTGTCATTATATTTCTGATTGTCAATGAGGTAAAAGGTGTTAATTAGTGAGCTGAGAGGAGCTGAGAGGAGCTGAGAGGTGAGTGTTCTCCCGTCTTTAGCTTCATGCTTAATAAGAATGGGGCCGATATTCTTATCTAACTCTTGACAGGAAATCTAAAACAAAAAAGTAATTTTACTGCTTTAATTTGCCAACATATTTTCTTCTAATAATGACACCATCAGCATTTAGCTTGGTTGCCTATTAACGTCGCTTCATAATGCATTCCCGTCTGCCAGGTCGTACACAGCCTTTCACAACAAAGCCCCCGACAGACATCAAATATGTTATCAACGTCTCCATTGTGTGATTTGTTTGGAAACAGATAGACAGAGAATACCACTTGGAAATGCTAAGAGCTTTCAACTTTTCATACAGACATTTAAAACACCAACATGTGATTAAATGTCTGTTGTTTGTACCCACCTCTGACAAACCAGCTCTGATAAGCCAGTCCATAAATAAACTGTTGGAACAAGGACCTGTGGAGACACGAGACGGGGCTTAGTGAAACAGCAATTTCTTTTTTAGTGAATACAGCACTGTCTACTATCTATTCAATATTTCCTTAAGGTGCGGTATGTGTGTTCTGTGTGATACAGTTGTGTTTTTTCATGAAAGCTAGAGGAGTCTCACCATGCCGCTGCTGATGTCCACCAAGCCACGTTTACAAAATCTGCAATTGTGGGCTGTAAATGCAAAGGAAAAGAGAAAAATGTAGCAACAATAAGCAAGTCGAATCCAGTCCCTATTAAAAACAATATCCATCTGTCTCACTATTGCTATTAATTCAGTGTATTTTAAGCATTTAATCAGCTAATTTGTTATTGTTACATCTCATCCTTTATGGTGTGGAAGTGTATATCCTTACCACAAACACTCCTCTGGGTGCAGCCCCATTTTGAGACTTAGAAACCTTTTCACACACAGACTGGTAGTCATATGACTGCTTGCGGTTGTAGAAGGAATTGTTGTAGAGCGCGTACATCAAGTAGGGATCAACATCACTGAAGAACATGCCCACCTGTGGGAAATAAGAAACGCCAGTCAAGCTCAGTGTAAAGATAAAGCGCAAAGTGTTCAGTGTGAGAGAATACATTATTGAAGTCAACCTTGTTCCATTCCTCCTTCTGATTAGACATGATTAGGAATCCACCGTCATCTATTAAATAGCACAGGAGATCCTGCACACAGGGGCAGAGACAGGCTGTTAATTCACAGCAGATAATGTAAAGTGCTCTGATAGAGGAGACCGAGCTGAATACAGGAAGCTTATCAGCACATTATCAGATTGACTCACCTCACTGTTGGCCTCGCAATCCATTTCACAGCCTCTGTTTGGTCCACACTGTCACGGGGGAAAAGACAATTAGCAACAGTTCAAAATCGGAGAAATACTGGTTTATTTAGGAAACTTTAAAAAAGGTATATTTCATTACCGTATTTGAGCCCTGATTGTTGTCTGTATGGTTGCTAGCAAGGATCTTAAACTTGTCCGTCCAGGCTTCAAGGTCCAGCTTCACTCCGACCACTGAGGAAAAGAGAAGTTAGTAAAAAGAGATGAAAATTAAAATAATACATACATATGGAAATAAAAGGCCCAACGAAATAAGAGCGGACATGTCCATACAAAGCGACAAGAAACACAGCGGTATAATTATCTCTGCCTCCCTTTCTTCCACGTCTATTATATTATTATTTTTGCTGAACTCACCTGCAGGTTTGATGGTCTTCCCTCCTACTGTGATCTCCACGGCCGTGCTCACCAGGATCCCGATGGTGTCGTTCTCCGGGTTCAACAGCTCGTCCCGCGCTTTATGACAGTAACAAAGGAAAAAAACAAGCCGTTAGATTCAAACGGCCACCACACAAAATGAGCCTCGGTGAGAGATATATAACCCAAGACTGAGAGCATCCCTCACCTGTTCGATAAGGCGCTCTGAAGATGTAGCCCTTGTTGTCCAGACTGCGCCGGTAATAGCTGGCATTAAACGGCTCAGGGTCTTCCTCCCAGGTTTCTGCAGCCCTGAGATTTAAGAGCAGAAACACTGGAGCTGTAAATCTCTACATTACAAGACTCCCACTATACTCAAAGGTTCACAACTTACAGCGTTCGAAGAGAATAGAGTGAGGAATAAAACAGATGAACTGAGAGCACCTACTTGTTGGGGAACACTCTTGTAACTCCTCCATCTGATGCAGCAAACACAGCCAGGAAGCCATATCTAAATATCAGGATGATGAAAAGAGATGCAAATCAAACCAAAAGCCTATTTAGAGAGAAATCTAAAAACGCACTTACTTAATCCTACTCACGTATTCAAGTCTTTATTCTTCCACACTTTCTCAACCAGCTGCCTGATGATGCCAGTGTCCAGAATCAGGTTATGGAGGAGCAAATTGTCACCTAAACATGATGAGGGGAAGATGGTGTGAGAGTTTCAGTTACATTCACATCAGATGTAGATTTCCCGTCCCTTAAGATATCACATTTCAACCATAAAAACTGAACCAATTGAAGAGAGGATTTCTGGATATAAAATATAATAAAACACTCAGGTGAATACAAACATATCAAGTTTGGTTGTCGAAATTGGAGACACCCTCTTAATCCCAGCCAACTTAATCTACATAAGTCTATGCAAAAGCTTGATGTTACATTACATTATATTACATTGCATTGAGCTGACAATAAGTACATTCGACCAGGAAGATACAACCTTGAAGAAATCAGAATCATATAAGTACATCAGTTTTCATAGAGCCAAACATTTCAAGGGCTACTCCACTGGCTTTAGATAAGCCAGTCCTTTATTAGTATAAAAGTGCTTTGTTAGTAATTCTATCGCTCGAAGTGGAGTCGAAAGAGATGAGTTTTCAGTCTGCGCCGGAAGATGTGTAAGCTTTCTGCTTTCCTGATGTCAATGGGGAGCTCATTCCACCATTTTGGAGGCAGGATAGCATACCCACGAGTTTTTGCTGATGGGAACTTGGGTCCCCCTCGCAGTGCGGGTGCAGCGAGCTGTTTGGCTGATGCAGAGCGAAGTGCACGTGCTGGGGTGTACGGTTTAACCATGTCCTGGATGCCAGTGCTATAGAATAAAGAACGTCTGCTATCAGTTACAACGGCTGGATACAGGGATTGTATCGACGGTAGCCTGAGACGTCGAGTAGGTCTTACGGTCCGCCGGAGCAGACCAGAAGTGGAAAGATTTAAGAGGGTGTGGTGGGGGCGAAGGAGGCGAGGGAAGTGACCGAAAGGTCATTGACGACTTAGGTGAAAGTTTTGTTACCAATAGAACGCATGGTACGACGCTGGCTTTATTAGACCAGGGAANCTGCACGTTTGAAGTTTGCAAAAGAGCACCTGGATGTTCCACAGCACTACTGGCAAAATATTCTGTGGACAGATGAAACCAAAGTTGAGTTGTTTGGAAGGAACACACAACGCTATGTGTGGAGAAAAAAAGGCACAGCACACCAACATCAAAACCTCATCCCAACTGTGAAGTATGGTGGAGGGAGCATCATGGTTTGGGGCTGCTTTACTGCCTCAGGGCCTGGACAGATTGCCATCATCGACGGAAAAATGAATTCTCAAGTTTATCAAGACATTTTGCTGGAGAACTTAAGGCCATCTGTCCACCGATTGAAGCTCAACAGAAGATGGGTGATGCAACAGGACAACGAGCCAAAGCACAGAAGTAAATCAACAACAGAATGGCTTCAACAGAAGAAAATAGGCCTTCTGGAGTGGCCCAGTCAGAGTCCTGACCTCAACCCAATTGAGATGCTGTGGCATGACCTCAAGAGAGCGATTCACACCAGACATCCCAAGAATATTGCTGAACTGAAACACTTTTGTAAAGAGGAATGGTCCAAAATTCCTCCTGACCGTTGTGCAGGTCTGATATGCAACTATAGGAAACGTTTGGTTGAGGTTATTGTTGCCAAAGGAGGGTCAACCAGTTATTAAATCCAAGGGTTCACATACTTTTTCCACCCTGCACTGTGAATGTTTACATGGTGTGTTCAATAAAAACATAAAAACATATAATTGTTTGTGTGGTTTTAGCTTAAGCAGACTGTGTTTGTCTATTGTTGTGACTTAGATGAAGATCAGAACACATTTTATGACCAATTTATGCAGAAATCCAGGTAGTTCCAAAGGGTTCACATACTTTTTCTTGCAACTGTACATCAAGTTATCTTAATAGTTTTGGCTACCCAGACAATCATTAATAGTAGCATAAACTCCTTGCTTACTATAGTTTGCCTTGAGAATTACAATAATTTAAAAGCAAAAGTAAATGAAACTTACATTGTTTGGAGTCTGGTGTCACCTTCTCCATGAGAGCAATGAAGTTGAGCAGGAACTCAGTGTTGTTGTTGGACAGTTCCAGATCATTGCAGTACTCCCTGAGGAAGAGATGAAGCATTTGAACACAGAGAAGGAAGCTAAAAACAAATACGTGTATGCAATATTTACACAATATCTTTGATGTCCTTTATAGAGGGACAGGCAACACAAAGCAGGGATGCACAACGCCATACACAGTATAGGTTTCTTGATGCTATAACGTGCAGCATGCATATATTAAAGCTTCATTTTCAATATGATAAGATTGCTGTCTATCAGAACTAAATATGTGTTGGAGTTCAGAGTGCAGGCATCACAATGAAAGAGTGATTTGTATCGCTGTGGTTCAGAATTCATGGTGCAACTGTCGGCCAAGAGGATTTGATATTAAAACAGCACAAGCAATAGGATTTCAATCTTCTTTTCATACAGTTTTTGTGCAACCAAACCAGTAACCCCTTAATTTAAATGTGTACAACAAACATACAACATAGAAGCAGCATGCAAGGAAAATGTGGCTTAAATTCTTGGTGTAATGATGTTATCTCAGGGAAGACAATGGGTAAATGCAACCATAACACAAATAGTATAAGTATATTGTTTTTACATGTTAACACAACCCAAACAATGAATGAATCACAACCACTTCCACAAAGTGCACCTCAACATCACAAAAGACGTAATACGAGAAAGCAGATGATAGATTAGAAAAATGCTCACAACAAAACAATATGAAGTGCATGTCAAGACCAAACACTGATGACCATCAACGACAGCAAGCGTTCACACAGGGCTACCTGGGAGCAATGAATACATGTCCTTCAGACTCAAAACTGTTTGGCAGCAGTGATTCAAAATCTGCAACAGAAAGGGGAAAGTTATCCAGGGAGAGTGGTGGGCAGGGCGGTGGGGAGTTGTGGGTAAACAGCAGCTGTTCTTCAGAGGTGCAGGGACGCAGAAAGGAGTTTACCATAGCAACACTGAGGTATCATGGGAACACTAGCGTTAGCCAATATGGTGCCAAAAATAGAACCTGAATCTCAATGGACGACAGCTTCACTTTCACAAGCACTCACACCTTCTTTGTCTTTTTGTTCATCAACAAACGTGTTCGGATTCACTAAGCATCAATCTAACATGTCTTTGGATGTCTGAGAACTGACTTGCGAGACGTGGTGAGTCGGTAAGCAAGTTCTCAGACAGATTATTCACAATGAGTGCTTTTAAGATCAGGCAGGCATCAACATGGCCAACTATTGCAAGGGAGGTGGGTGACGGTCCTGATGGAAGTGGTCACCCCTCAGACTGGCAGGGGAGAGGGCTCAGAGAGACACATAATCAGAGGAAGTGCATTGCATTGTGAAGGGCATGTCAAAGGGCAACGTCTTTTCATCTGTCACAGACAAAACAGAGCACAAAGCATCAACAGGTGAGTCTGCAACGAATCCAACGTGTTACTTTCTTATTTATCAAGACCTGTAACTGTGTACAGCAGAGGAATGACATTTTAGAGTTAAAATAGAGTGCCCAGGTAGTTTTCCGCCCACAATGCCATGCACATCCGGGGTCAGGTTTACTGAGGAAGTGCTGGGCCATCCTCTGACAGTCTGAGGGGTGAGGCGGGAGGGGAGACAAGCTGATGGAGACAGGGAGTACAGAGGGACGACACAGGAGCCAGGCGGCACCCTGACACCTGACAACATGGGAGGACCTGGGTGGGCTCAGCCCGGGGGGGTCACTCTGCAGCCAGCAACGACTCCAGCTATAGACCAGACTACGGAAGCTAACAGAGCTTTATTATGGAGATCAATAAAGTATAGCTACATTAAAATATTATGACCACAAGAGATCACTATTTATTACTATTACTATAATCAAAAAGCAGTACTTACATGGTATGTGGAGATACAATATTATAACCAAGTTGTAGCATTGCAGTATTTCATATCAATGTTTAAGATGATTTTTTTACCTTACCACATTATTTTAATGTTACTGCAAAAAAATGTTTGACTGAAACATTTTTAGCTATTACACAAATAAGATGGAGATTATGAAAATCGAATTAAAGATCTGTCAAAACCTGAGCTCTAGTGTAAAAACTATTAAAGACATTTATTAATTAATGACACTGTAAGAAAAGGCAGAGAGAGAGAAATCGAGAGAGAAGAAGGTGAAAAAGAAATGAAGGTAGATGAGGAAGAGAGAGAAATATGGCCAAAGAAAATGAAAAGAAATCGTGGATGAAAGAGAGAAAAAGAGAGAGAGAAAGGGGGAAGACACAACCCATTTGGAGCTTTCCACAAAAGGAAAAGGATTATGTGGGAGGACAAAAGACACATTTTAACAGAGAACATGAATATCTGTCTTCCTTGGTGTTTTTATTTTTGCTTCTGGAGCAGTGGATAGGTGGGGAGGAGGGTGAGGACCAGAGGAGCCATCGTGAGGGATGTGGGATCTGAGCTGCAGCAAGAAGGTGAAGAGGAGGAAGAGGAAGAGGTAGAAGAGGAAGAGGGGAGGGAGTCCTGAAGGCAAGACGGGCAGGAACAGAGGCAAGCAGGCTGGGACAGGTGAGGGAAGGAGGAGGGGGGGGGCAGCAGGAAGAGGTTAAGGACGAGAGGTGTGGGAAGGAGGCAGCGGTAGGGAGTAGGAAGTAAAGGAAGGGAACGTGGACCAATATGGAGTATACTTGCCCTTGGTGTATGGCACTGTGTGGATCCATCAGAGAAGGAGCAAGAAAAGAAACAGGGGGTCGGGTGGGAAGGGGGGATCACAGACAATATTTTATTCAATTACTGTTTGAATAAAAATATTGTTTTCTTGAAAGAAAGAAACCAATTTAAGTCAAACAAGACAAGAGAAAAAAGAAATGAAGAGCAAACATCTTATTTGCAAGAGCAAACAAAAAATCAACAGAGGAAAGGGAACGAAAACCTGGGAAATCCAGGAAAAGAAAAAGACTGAAGACAAAACCAGTAATTGTGATAAATAATTATGGTCAAACATAAAAAAAGGAAAATTCAAATAAAACAGGAAAAGAGGGGAGTAACAGGGTCTGGACAAAGAATGAGAGAGACAACATGTGTCCCCATTCAGACCCACAAAAACCCAAACTCCCACATTAGGAAGCCCTTATCCCGGGCCGTGTAGGAGTTTATATACTGAATGATTCCAAAGCCGGGAAACAACTCACACAATCTAACAGAAAAAAGAATAAATAACACACATAACAGAAGGAAAAATCCCCCAAAATCAAAAAAGGAGTGAAAAGCATGCGTGTTTTCACAGTTTTTCAGAACATCAAATACTTTGAACCCAGATGCTTCAGAATCATTACTTGGTGGAGAAGAGGCGAGAGCATTTGGCAAAAAAAATAATAGCACAGAAGTCACCATTATTTTCACCTGAGTAACACAGTAAAACCACAGCTTTCACCTTTCTGTCCGTTCAGTTATTTTTTTCTTCAGCCAGTGTGAAGAAAAAACATCACCATTTTACAGCACAGCATGAAGACAGGAGGGGACAGGGGGCAGTAGAGGAGTCGGGGGGCTGAGGTAAGATCCTGCCTATCAGAGAGCGCACAAAGGGGGGAGTA